TCCAAACCAGTCACGTAAACAACAACAATATTCGAAACAATGTCGCATGAAGGCGCTGTCATCCCGCTTAAATCAGTGCATATATAAATGGGCGTATAACGTTTTACAAACCACCTGTCATGGGGGCGCCCTCTCTCGGTACATTCATCAGAATGCGATCACGTAACATGTGAAACCACGAATGTAGGTAGATATATTATCTATCATTTATTTATTTATTTATTTATTTATGTATTTTTAATTACAGTAGTAAACAATTTTTTGGTGGTGTGTTTCTTTGTTGTCGGCTTCTTTGGTTTTGAAGCCTTTTTGGGTGTTTTCTTTTGAGCCGGCTTTTTAGTGGTAGTTTTCTCTGATTTCTTTGTGGCGGTATTTTTAGCTTGTGGTTTCTTGTCCGACTTTGGCTTTTTCGTAACCTTCTTGTCCGACTTTGGCTTTTTCGTAACCTTCTTGTCCTTGGGTTTCTTGTCTTTCAGTGTTGGCTTCTTGGTCGACGTTTTCTTTGGTACAGCTTTCTTGGTTACTGCCTTCTTTTTTGGCTTCTCTGGGAGCTTGCCGATTCTGAGACGACCATTTACGCCATTAGCATTAGAATCTTTGGGACGAACTAACAACCCAGACTCGATGCCGGATTTAATTGCACGGCGTAGACTGGATGTGATATGAGCCGGGCTGACAGTAGAATGGTGAGTCAAAATGTATGACTTGATTGCTTGTACTGATGTCCCTTTCCGGTCTTTCAGTGCCTGAATAGCTTCAACTATCATATCCATTGTCTTAGGATGACTAGCTACAACTTTCGTCTTCTTCACAGACTTGTTTGAGGTCGATTCAACCATGGTGCAGGTTTAAGAATGTTTGCTGCTGAAGAGATACAGGCAGAATACAAAAATAGAGTGACGGGATTTGTCTTTTAACAGAGCGCCGATAGCAATCGAACGTCAGAGGAAACATAAGTGTGAACTGAGTGCCATTTCTCCATTTCGACCAGAGTTTGTTTTTGTTTTTGGCAATTAAACTCACATTACACCATGAAAAGTGACTTTAAATATATATCCAACTATCACACTGGGTGGAGCACGTCGTGTGCTTCGTTTTCATATACATATTATCATTCATATATCATTATTTACCGCATGTGTAACTACAGTATACATGCTGACTGTCATTTTCATTTTCAAAAATGCAGAACAAACTGACACGCACTTACTTTATGTGTAAGTGGCTGTATGTATGTATGTATTTATTTATTTATTTGTGATCGTGATAATGTGGTATAGGTGCGTTCATTTGACGGTAGTTCTCTTTTTGGAGTATGTGGTGGCCCTGAAAAGGGCCGTTTTGGTTTGTGTATGCTAGGCATACGACTTATGCTCGCTCACCGCGGATGCGACGGGCAAGTTGGATATCTTTGGGCATGATGGTTACACGTTTGGCGTGAATGGCACACAGGTTGGTGTCTTCGAAAAGACCTACTAGGTATGCCTCGCTGGCTTCTTGTAGGGCCATCACGGCGGAGCTCTGGAATCGAAGGTCGGTCTTGAAATCTTGCGCAATTTCTCGAACCAGACGCTGGAATGGCAGCTTTCGGATCAGGAGCTCTGTACTTTTCTGGTAACGGCGGATCTCACGAAGAGCGACGGTGCCAGGCCTGTAACGATGTGGTTTCTTCACTCCGCCAGTAGCAGGTGCGCTCTTGCGAGCAGCCTTTGTTGCCAATTGTTTTCGTGGCGCTTTTCCACCAGTAGATTTACGTGCTGTTTGCTTGGTACGTGCCATGTCGAGTACAGAGTGATGAAC